AAAATTATACATATCTGTCAAAATTATATATAATATAAAAATTTATATATAAGTAAAGCATACACAAACATTTATATGTCTGTTACATCTGTTAAATTTATACACACACAGTTGATGGAGTTTGGCAACAATGTAAGGTTAGTCTGGCAAATGCCTGAAAAATAATAACACACAAATCAACAGGCAAGTAAAAATGATGAACAACATCACAGAGTCTCAGATCCTAAAGGCAGGTCAAAGTCTGTGGCCTGAAAATCTTTCTGGGTTAATTGAAGTTAATTTAATTTAAAGTCTCCCGTATATGAGGTTTGACAAAGCTGCTGTGTTTCCACCAACAGCCCTGAGTTTGGAAATAGTTTGGAATAATGGCTCATAGGAAAACTTCATTGAAAAATAGCAGTTACGACTTGTCTACATTTTCAGCAGGGTTAAAATGCTTTTCCAAAGTTATTTTCCACACTGAGATACAGGGGCAGGTAGGAGCCTGCTTGAAGTTGGTTGAAACTCAGAGTTTTCCCTTTGGAGATGTTTGTCATCCAGATTCTTGGAGGTGATGGTGGTGAGACCAAAAACATCACAATACTTTCAGCTGCACAGTTTCTGACAACTTTATTTTTATTTAAAACCTCACCTTTCAGTGAGTTTATTTAAAACCTCTTCAGTTTTGTGACTGATGTTTTGTTTTTCAGTGGTCTAGCTGAGGGAGGGGAGGGAGTTTTGGGGCTGAGTGATACATCTGTGGACGAAGGGGGATTGAAACACTTGTCACCCATTTCACACTGGGTCATTTTTGCCATACAAAAATCACTTTGCAGCAAAGCCAAGAATTGTTCTTCAGCTCAGTGATAGCAAAACTACATGGCTAAAAATAGCCAAAATCACTTCAGATCTCACTCTAGAAGTTCAGGGAAACCCAGGCAGTGTCACAATGCTCAAATCCAGGTTTGATTCACAGCTCTGTGTTTTAAGAGTCGCACTTGGCTCATAGGCCATGAAACTCCTCCTCTGTTGATGCTGCTTTAAATCAGTCTCAGCTAATGAAATGTTCATTCTGACTCAGTCACCACTCAGAGGATCTTATATTGATAGAAACACGTTAGTTGTTTGCAATTTATGTCCCAAATACTCAAAATTAATTTGAGAACTTTACACGTATTTCTGTAGTTCACTATTATGGTAACAGTCTTCAAATATATGAAAAGAGAACTGGAATAAATCACCTGTGCTGGAATTGGGAATGCTGGCATAAGCTGCAGCAAAAGGACACTGGGAAAACTGTATTCCAGGTCTCCCTTATCCCTGCTTTTAGTGATTTCCTTAGCAAGGTTTGTATTTCTCCCTGGAGACAGGATTTGTCAGCAGTGATAGAACTGTAGTTGATCTTGTTTTGGGACAGAAGAAGCAGACACAGTTTCTTGACATTACTACCAGCTGGTATTTTTGCCATGAGAATGCAAACTAAGTGAAATAGTGCCCTGGTTCATGTTTTTCCCTCTTTAAATGATCCAGGGAGGTTGAAGTGTTGTGACACAGGAAGATAAAGGCCAATTTACGACTGCCCAGTTCAGCACAGGTGCCAACTGCAACACTTAAGCCAGAGTGCAAATGTAGTAATGGAGTAGGGAGAAATGAAAGTTTAGATTTTTGATTCATCCTTGGCCTAAAATAAAAGTATACACAGAAAACCAGTAAGCTGAGCAAGAATGGTGGAACCTGAGGAAACTCCAGTGTACAACATCAGCAGTGCTCTGGTACATTAATCATATCTCTGAGTGCAGTTATTTGTGTGGATTTGTTGTTTTTTCAGGTTTTACACAGAGGTGTCATCAGCAGTTCAGCTCTGTACCTTAGTTTGGCAGCTCTGCATGGTGGGCATAGTTCTGTGGAAGAAGAATTTGCTCTCAGTAATGTGCTCAGGAGCATAGTAATGTATTATGTGTTATTATGTCGAGTTCAGAGCACCTCAGTGCCAGCAGGTGTTTATGGGTGTTTTATATGTGCTGTATATAAGTACTGGGTTTTTCTGCTTTCAGTTCAAACTGAACAGGGAGGTCAAACATCATCTTGCTATTTTGCACTGCTGTTCTGACTTAAAACAGGAGTTCACTATGGAAAAAAAGCAAAGAAGTTCCAGTTCTCAAGCCAACGGCAAGCTCATTTGTGATGGTGTAGTCAAATTTTTACTGAGTGAATCAGAAAACAAAAAATAACTGATTTTTCTGGATGTACAAAATAGTAGCAAATTTATGTTGTCATTGAAAGAGTTGTGGAGCCCTTTTTTCCTGAATAAGTGTGTTAGATTCATTAATGTGTGTACCTTATTCATGACTGCGTAAGGTTGTATTTTAATTGCCATCTTGACACAAAGGATATTAAAATCCTGAGTAAATTGAATATTAGTTTAGAATCTCAGATTTGTGGCTATTTTGTAGTCTCAAAGTACAGTTCTGAAATAACCTTTTTTGTCTGTGTGTTATAATTATTGGGTAATCAATTTCTCTCTTTTTTTTTTTGTTTCTCCTTATTTTATTTATTTACCTCTCCAAAACACAAGTCAAAGGCCTGCTTTGCTTAAAATTTTAGGAAGTTTTCTTTCTACTTCATTTAACTAGCCCTTTCACCTGCTACATCATCCTGCCAAAGATCAGGAGGTTCATTCATTTTAGACAAGTTTACTATTTTATTTGGTGGTGAAATATTGTTAATTATTGTCCCATACATCCTGCTCTGTCCTACCTGTGCTCCTCAGTGTTTAAAAATCTGCCTACTAATATATTCATCTGTGTGTATCCACACGATTTACATGTGCTCACATGGCACTAAATCGTGAATAATTCAATTTCAGGATCCCTCCAGTATTTTGTTTCCTGAGGTTCTCACCTGCTCACAATAGGGACTAATCCTCTCTTTCTTCCAACCATGTGTTTATGGTTACCCCACACAATAAGGAGTTTAAGTTCTGTTTCTAGGGACTTCTTGAAATGTCCCCTGAGACTTTTTATGAGTTACTTAGGCCCTTAAGTTCCTCATCTATCAGCAATTTTAACAGGTACAGGCTTGGGCTCTCCCTTTACAAACATAGCCAGTGTATTACTGGGCTAATTCCTCAGCACTTGGAATTCTGTGAAAGGAATATGTTCTTTTTTTTTTCCCAGAATTTTGGGGGTTGTTGGCTTTTTGGGGATAATTAGAATGGTGGGGAGTAACTGAACAGAGAAACCCCTCGTCTCTGATTTCTAACCAACTTTAAAATGTCTCAGATGGGTTTTCCTGTTTTGTGTGCACGTCTGAACCAAGAGGCTGTAGGAGGAGAAGCTGCAATTGGGATGGCAGAGTATGGAACTACATCATACAGCAACTTCTGATGTGCTTATGAGCACTTGTAGATTGAATAATTTTTAGAAACTTGGCTAGAGCCCAAAGGTCCAGGCTGCATATTTGAACATCTCCAATTAGGTAGTGTGTTTAAAGAAAAATTAAAGAATAATATATATATGTGGAAGACAGAAGTAAAGAGTGTCTTAAGAAATGCAGGAAAACCATGAATAGGTTAGGATGGTATTACTGATGGCTTTTTTTATGGATTTGGTTCAGTGGCCTCTCCTGTTTCATTGGACTTCTGCCAAAAGCATCTTGTAGAACTTTTAATTTTTAAAAAAACTTCGATAGAGCAAAAAGCAAATCATATATTTATAATGAAAATAAAGGTTCTTTGCCTGCATGTTTTTAAGATGAGTTTTTTTGGTGAAAGTTAGTTTCAGAAGGATCTGGCACTTCCCCTTTTTAATAAATGTTCTTATACTGTAAGTAAACAAAAATAGTGCTTACTGACATGCACATGGATTTTTGTTTGGTTTTTTTGTAGTCTGTCATTGTGCCTGTTCACAACAGTGAATGCTGGTTAGATGAATGCTTGAAGTCAGTTTGGGAACAAGATTTTGAAGGAACCCTGGAGCTGTCAATTTTTAATGATGCCAGTAAGGTATGTTTCAGACCTTCCTTAAAATAGTGTCCAAGTAAAAGCTGTCTCTGACAGGAATTTTTGGTTTAGTTCACCATAAAAACTGAAATAGCTGCATCTATGACATTATTTTTTCTAGGATGGGTCAGCTGAAATAATTGAAAAATGGAAGATCAAGTTGGAAGAAGTTGGTATTCCAGTAATCATTGGGAGTAATGATTCATCTGAACCCCGAGGTGGTATGTAGCTTAATAGAGATTTTGTGAGAATTAGATTTTTATTGCAGGCACTTTCTGGGTTTTAGTTTGAGAAGTGTCTTTGTAGCCATTTGCATTGCAATGGAAAAAAGCCACGTTGTTTTCCAGAGCTCTCCCTTCAAAAACTCATTCCAATTTAGAACTTGGCCCTGTTGGTTTGGGATGTGTAGAATTTGTTTATATGTCCAGGAAAGAAGAACTTGGCTTAGCACTTGTGCTCTACTCTGCAAAAGAATTTTGTTTAATTGTAGTGTACACAATGTTGTTAATGCTTACAGTTTTGCTGTGGCTTTCTGATATCTGATTTGTCTTCAGGAGATGGGTTTTAAGAAAAAAGAAATGTAAGATTTTGTACATGAAGATTTAAAAAGTGTATGCATTTCTTTCAGTCTTGTAAAATAGGCCTTGAAATTGAAAAAAAAATACATTTTCGATCCCTTTGATGATCAAATATAAACAGAGGTTTCAGAATAGTTTTGATTGAGCTAAAAGCTCTCACTGAACTCCTAAGTATTCACTCAGAGGGCTAACCCAGTGTGTTTACTGAGCTGCCAGATACGTGTATGATGTGATTCCCTGTTGATTTACATGCTCATGTGAATCACATTTACCCACTGCAGGAGATTACAAACAAATCTCTGCAAGAGATTTTCTTTTGCTTAATTTGGTTGGTTTATCTTTAGGGTTTTTTAGCACAAAAGCTTCCTAAAACATAAAATAGAAACACAAGCCCGTTGCTCTTTGAAGAAGCTGCCGTTGAGTGACACTGAAGTTGGAAGATCATGTCTGTGGAGGAGAACAGCAGGACAAAGCAGGAACAGTGTGCTCACATTTTGTGGGGGAGCTCTGGAACTAATGTTTCTGTCATTCTGGACTTTGTTGCAATGAGTAGACAGGGAGGAATTGTTATAAAACTGGTCCGAATTTGTGTCTGTCAAGTCATCTCGCTTAGAAGTCACGCTTTGGAAACACCGTAATACCAAAAGCTGGACAGTTTCTGCTTTTTAACTAAATGCCCTTTTTGTAAGTGGAAAGAAACCAAAGTTTATTAGAGTCTCTTCAAAATGATCCTCCTATGCAAAAGCCCAGTTCTGTTTCAGGAGGTTTAATTTTCATCCCCAGTCGAAACATGCAAATAAATTGGGAGTTTGGGCACTGAATTAATCTACAACCTGGTATAGGCCCTGGGCTTTATTTACTGTCATTTATCTGACTGTAGACTTTACAGCTGGTTTTAAACAGTTGTCAGACCCAGCAATACTGAAGTAACACAGCATAACTGTTACTATAAATATTTTTAGTATCTTAGTATCTCTAGCATGAACTGGTGTTGTTTTGACAGTGCAGCTCTTGCAATATTAGCATTATTGGGCTGGTGATGAGAAAAGGCAGACAGGGTTTGTAGAGGGAATTTTTCTCTTTTGGGCCGCTGATACAGCTGGAATTGAGCAATGTCAAGAATTACTTGTATTCCTGGAAATTTGTCTTCTTTTTTTCCCTCCCTCCACTGGGGGTGATCAGTCTCCTTTCAAATCTCACTTCTCTTAGTAGTTGATGATCTAGAAGCTAAGAAGGTTGCAATTTCTCAAAGCAAAGAATAATCCCAGAGGTTGTTAATTGTGATACTTTGTTGATTAGTAATGTTTTTGTTAATACTATCGTGTTGTGTAACATCTTTTCCATTTTTATAAACATTTTCTATGTCTAAAGTCTTGTTGCTTATAGAGTGCTGTATCAGTTGTGTATAAACTAGTTTTTAGTTTGCCAGAACACACAGGCACAATGCTCTGATAATAACTTGTGTTAGAATTCTGACTTCAGTTCACCTTTGCACTTCAGGAAACTGAACCTAAAAATGAGTTCCTGTTGTGAATTCCAAGTACATTGTGCCATTAGGGATATGTCAGGTTATATTTTGGCTTAACATGCATTTCTCAGCGTTGGTGTAGCTGCAACCTGAGCAGATCTTTAATTAATTGGGGATGGGGGATGCAGCTGTGAGCATTGTTTTAAACAACAGTATGAAATGCATAGTTGTGCTGAAAAAACAAAGCTCATTCATGTGGAAGTCACTCTCAGGCCACCATTAAAACAAAGGCATCTTTCCTTCACAGTTGTTACATTTTAGGAGCAGGTTACTTGAAATCCATAGTATTTGTTTGCTTTCAGTGATTTACTTTTATTATGTTAAGGACTAGGTACAACTGTAAGGAGTCTTGCCTTTAAAAGAAGATGCTTTGGTACAGAAACAATGTCCTAGTCAGGCTTCACATCTTCAACTATTTACACAAGATTAGGATTTATTTCTGATTCTTTTCTAACATGTAAAAGAAAGGGGGGGGAGAACCTAGAAAAAAAGAAAGGGTCACTTGCCTAAAAAAAGGAAACCTTTTTCTTTCCAAGAGTGAGGAATGTTAATATCTCACTGAGGCTTAAGTTTTTACGGCTGTAACCATGGTAACAGGCTCTTTTCACCAAGTAAGCAGGCCTTACAAAACTCAGAGACCTGGCACAAACATTTCATTTTGTTCAGTAGAGTAATATTAAAGATATTTTTTTTTACTCATGCCAAACATAGAATTTGTTGTGGCAAAGCAATTTTTAATGCCTTGTTTCTTCTATGGGGATTTATATCTCCCTTATTAATAATTTAAGAAATATGTGTATTTTCTTCTCTCCTCTCTAAAAAATAGCTGGAAAGCTTCAGGATGGTTCTGTCTTAATCCGAGAAAGAAATATTTTCCAACTCTCTCTCATAACAAATACTAGATATTTCATGATTTTATTTCAAGTGGTTTATTTGAAAATGACATCTGAAATATTTCAAGAAGTTCATAGAGTAAGATAGTTATCATGTAAAAAATTGTCATCTTGTAGTTGCTTTTGAGTCTCCTTCACTTTTTTCCTTCAATTTTGGTTCTTTATCCTTCATTATTGTCAGCTGAAGGTGGTTGAAATATTGGGGTATGGCAATGAAATTAATTGAAATGTAAGTACAGGCTATTTTACACTTGGTAATTGCTGTAAAGTATGAACTGTATGATGGTGCTGATTTGTTTGATGTTGGGCAAATTTTAATTCTGTCCTGTTTTTCTGTCCTGTTCTTTTACCTCTTGCTTTAGTAGGGACCTCCTCAGCATTGGGGTTTTGCTGGCTTGGCATGTCCAGACCTGCTGAGCTGCAATCAGTTGTTTCCCACTAAAACTGCCCGTGCCAGGATTCAGCTCTGCTGTTGGGGCAGCTCCTGTCTTTGCCAGCTGCTTTTTCCCTGCCAATAGGAAGGAGACTGAGAGTCACTGTATATGTGAGATTAGATATTCATATGTGTATAAAAGGTAGTGGGTAATTAAACTGTAAGATCATAAGTCCAAGAAATCCACGATGAAGAGACATTAAGGTGAGGATTAAAGTACATAAGAGTAACAGAGTTATAAGGAAGAGACTTTATTGGTAGTGTTCTGGTGGTAGTTGACATAATGTTCCTTGGAGGCAGCAAGAAATGCAGTCATAAGTCTTTTTCTGTACTTGGACAACTCAGCAAAATAGCCAAGGAGCACGTGCATTGCAGCTCAGGGAACCTTTGAGCCCAGTTAAATTTATTCCCTGAGCCAACTTAAACTTTATCACATAAAAAGAGTAGAGAATTAGAGAAGTCTGCATTTTTCAAATGCAAAATCTGAAACTTTGGGGATAATGTTAGTTAAAATTATTCTCCTCTGCTTCATGGTGGGATTTTTTGGCTTTACATTTCCAGTTTTCCCATTAAAGAATAAAACTCCCATATTGTATTGTGTATCTTCACATCATTTGGTTTGCAAGTCAGGGCACTCTTTTGCTGGATTCCCTGACTTGGTTCCATAAATACTTCAAAGCTGAAGTGTTATATATGTGACCAAGTGGAATCCATATAGAATTTTCCAGAATGATGCTGGATACAGTGTGGTCTTTTCATATAATGCTGCCCAGGAGAAGAATTCAGAATGTTCTTAGGTAGACCTTGTCTACCAGCAGAAATTATCCCAGGTAATCTCTCCTGCCTTGCAGATGTATTTGATGTTATGGTATAAATTAGCTTGTGCTCCTTGTGTATATCTAATCAGTCCTGCTTTGGCTCCCCTCTGCATTACAAAGGCCACTTGAAGTTTTTGTGTTTGCAAACTTTATATTTAACAAGCATCACAGAACAGAACTTAATTTTTGAGTCCTTCCGAGGACCTGTCCCCCTGATGGGAAGAACAGCAGTTTCTGGATCTTTCTTTGCCTCTTTTATGATTTGTTGGTATTTGTTATGACTTTAAAGATGAATGTTTATACAGCCAAGGGTTTTCAGCACCTGCTCTTTGCAGGGGATGGAACTAAGTTCCTTCCAACCCAAACCATTCTGGGATTCAATGATCTGATGTTCTGGATGTGAAACCTAAACAGCTGGACTTCTCAAGATATGTATTACATATTATATCTTTATGGAGGGCCAGCAAAAGTATTCTAATTCTGCTTGATGGTAGAATGCTGATAATCACTCAGAGAAGAAGACTGAAGTAGGCATCCTATTTAAATATTTACAAATTACCTTGTTTTAAATATGGAAAAATCGTGGACTTTCTGTGATACCGATTCTCATATTTTCTTTCCTGTTCCTGACAATAGTAAGATTTAAAAAAATACAGTGGTAAAAACTACCCCATAATTTATCTTTGTTTTCTCAACAGTTGGATTTGCTAAAAATCAAGCAGTAATTCAGAGCTCAGGAGCCTATCTCTGCTTTCTGGATTCAGTAAGTTAACGCATTTTCTCTAACTTGGTTTTGTTGGTATAATTTTATTGGTTTTAATGTAGTTGTTAATTGTTTGATTTGCCTTAAAGACAAGCTGTTTAAAGGTGTTTGGGTGTTAAATGTGCTGGTTACTATTTATAGCTCCAAAGTCATCTTCCAACCTGTAGAAAGCCTCACACCATTCTTTGATTATATCAGATTCCACAGGCTGACGTGAGCAGGGCTGGACCAGGTTGGTATTTAGGTGTTTTCAGGATTTTTCTTTCCCACATTCTACAGAAAATTGTATTGAAACTAAGAGCTAATCTGTGGCTTTTTGATGCAAAACAGGAGAGGTCTCACCTTCCATCTTGAATTTTTTTCCCAGTCCTTTGTGGGATCCCTTCTGTGGAGCCATTCAGCTCAAAAACCCAGAGATAAGGATCATAAGGATCAGGCTTGATGTGTTAAAATTCTGTGAATTATTCAGTATACTGTTGCAGGACAGTTAAGAGGTTAAGAGGTACTATATTTCTGCTGACCCAAGGAAATGCAACTGAAATATCTTGTACCATATGAAAAATTACATTTTGCAGGTGGCTTTCTTGGCCTTTATTCTTGCTTTTGTTAAGTTATTACTGTGCTCAGTGTGCCTTGTAAAACGTGTTTATTTGAATTTGTCCTCATTTAATAGTTTGTTGGTTGGGGTGTGTGTGTGTGTGTTTGTTTGTTTTACAGAGTGTATTTTATGTAAATTTTTGTATATAAGTTTATGGAAGGCGAAGTAAATATTTCCTCTCCAGCACTGAGCATCGGCGTCCATTTCATAAACAAAGTGTGCTGAGGAAAGAGCAACACAAAAGCCACTGATGTGATTTTGGTCACCTGACTGGGCGGGTCATGGAAGAGTGGAGGGACCTCATAAATTATGCCAGTGAGTAACTGGAGTGATGCCAGTTGTGCTGAGGTGGATGAACTCAGGATCAAGTTCTTTTTGCTTTACTTGGGCAGAAACAAAGCCAAGTGCCATTTTGTCTATACAAATGATTTAACTCTCCTGTGTTTGGAGTCAGTGAGGCTGTTTATATATCTAAAATGAAAAAAACCCCAGATCTTATGATTTCCAAAGCTCAGGTATTCCAGGCTTGGACAGACCCCACATTGCAGGGGGCATTCCAGGCAGTCTGTATGAGTTGCATATGTACTTATGTTGACTGAAATGAATTGAGTCCACATGTACATGAATAAGAAATTAATGTACCATTGTCCCATGGAGCTTCATATCTTCTATCTCAAAATAATCTCCTGAGGCAAATTATAGGTTAGTCTTTCTTTTCAATCCAGACAGGTCGAATTGTTTGTAAATCACAAGCAGCAAGCTAGAGAATTAAATTCTCTAAATGAAATTAATTCATAGTTTTACAGTGATATCTTCAGAATTCTACATTTGTTATTTACCATGTACTGTACATCTTCATGCTGCTGTGTTGTTTCTGTTTGCTGGCTAACTATGCAGGAAAACAAAACATCAGGGAAACAAATTACAACTACTAAGGAATATAATAAGGAATAATAATTTTGTATTTCTGCAATGTTATCATTAGCATAAGCTTATATTTAATATAATTAAGATCTGCTTGAGGTGAGTTGAGAATTTTATGACTTACAGTGTGGATAAGCTTGGGAAGAGTTACAAAGATTTTCTGTTCTGTGCACTTTTATTTCTGCTTCAAAACAGAGGCATTCTGAGCTATCAGAAGCTTAATCTCGATGCAAAAGAAATATCAAAATTAATGAATAATTTGCATTAATTAAATGCATTTTCTGCTGTCTGTCCCTGTGACTAGCATTCTTTTTGCTGAAAACAGATCGGAGGAAATAAAAATGACTGTGGAAACCGCTCCAAGTCTAAAAATTGCTCAATGTTTTGGCTGTAGCTGGTCAATGTTGTGTGATAAATGCTGAAACACAGATGTTGCCAGCTGTTTAACAACTCTGCTTCCACACACCACCTACCTTCTTCACTGCACTCCCCAATCCAGTATCCAGCTCTCTAGGAAGGAATGCTGATATCAGCCCTCTGGAATGTGCTGCAGCAGTGCCAGGGAACTGACCTTCAGAAGTGCAGCCCCAGCTTCAGGTTTGCTGTAGGTGGATGTGGAGAGAAAACGGGGCTGGGAATGGGGATTTTGCATAAAGGTGGAGAAATACCCGGTGGCTCTTTGTGCATTACTCTGTCTTCTCGGAGTAAAAGGATGTAGGAACATATGTGGGAGCATCTTTGGAAGTACTGGCTCCAGAGAGACTGTTTTGCTTGCCACTCCAGCTGGAGTCAAGCTGCTTGTGTTATGTCTCTCAACACAGATTTGTGAGGACAACAAACTGGGAAGAAATGTGGAAAAAAAAGGTTGCAGAGCTCAGGACTGTCAGAATTTGATCAGCCCATTCTAGTATGAAGTGGCAGCTGTTTGACTAACAGCCATTGTGTAGTTTTTCTGCCATGGTTGCTCTTACAGATTTCACCTCTAAGCTACTGAGGCATTTTTTTCCCCCGCTGGGAAAACAAGTAGAAAAATTGAAGATACTTCACAAATTTTTCATATTTAACATTTATAGTATCAGGAAATGAGATCTAATTATGCAAAATATTTCAGTGTTAGCTTTACTCTCCTAAAACTATCTGCAGTTATGACTTTATCTACCAGTTTCATTGTGCTGTGGCTGTAGTTTGTCAGTTCTCTGGGGTCATGCCATCTTTGTTAGAAGCATTTCCCCAGCAGAACTCTTACACTAAAAATTCTGTTTGCTGCTTTGAACTGCTGTTTTCTTTGACATTCACTTAAACATGCCTATACTTGTGTAAAACTGTACTTCTTTAAAAAGGAACAAGCTTTCATTTCATCTTAATCATCTGTGGAGTTTCCAATTCTTTCAGGTTTAATCAGTGTGTTGTTGGGGATTGTTAAAGGAGAAATATAAAAATGTGTCCTTTTTTGACCTGCAGTATTTCAAAGCCAGTCATATTCACTCGAGTCCTTGACACGCTTGTTTTAGTCTTTTGAAAGGCTCTGTTGGCAGTGTATCACTATTCCAGAGATTCTCAGGCAGTTCAAAGATGTGACTCTAAACCGTGTCGCCACTAAGAGCTGAAAATGCCACAGGGACACAGCTGAGTTTTGTTCACCAACAGTGAATCCAGGACCACTGGATTTGACATTCCCATGTTTAAGTGGCAGCTGCTGACCTGAGCCTTTCTGGTTGTGAGATTTGCTTGTGTGATTTAAGTTGGGAACGGTAATTTTTAAATTGCTGTGAAATTTCGTGTGTTCCTTGAGTTTCAAGTTCAAACCCACTTCCTCGAGGGGCTGTTGATAAAGGTCTGGGAGGAAGGAGGTTGGACCTCAGCTAAATGTTTCAGCCTTCAATATAGCATTCAGTTATAAACAGAGCTGCTTGGTTTTACTGTTTCCATAACCTGCTGGGTTTGAAAACATGGATTTCTTGTTAGTTGCCATTATATATATATATACA